CCCAAAACAAAATCAAGACTTTGTAAAAGAGCATAATAGGACCCCTTTAAAGATTGTTTAATAATGTATTTCTCACAGATTTGAATATTTTAGTATAAATCCATGGGGTTTTGTCTTTACCTGTATGCATGACACATTGTGCACTTCCACTCCTGTGCAGACCAGACGACCCGACAGTGCTTACAGATGCGATGGCTGCACCCGCAGCACACTGAACCACAGTCCCAGAACTTTCCCAGAAGCCGCTGACAGCGTGCACATGATCTCTGACCATAGGGACGTGTGATGGCCTTGGCACCCTGTCGACAGATACCCTGAAGTTCTACCTTCAGCCTCCTAAAACAAATTAGTTTGAAATGTTATTTTAGATTTCATAGTACAAGGCATTTCTATTTTTTCTGCACACCGACAAAAAAATGTTCTAAAGAAGTTAGAAGTTCTAAAGAACCTGATTCTGTCTGCTTCAATGGTTCGAAGTGCTTTGTCTCTCTGAAGAACCTCCAGGACTCTTTCTCTCTCCAAAGCCTGGAATAACCCGAGATCCATAGTGCAGACGTGATTGTATATGATTTCCCAGTTTTTCTGTTCGAGTTTCATTTCCTCCACAGCTCAGTTCAGTTCGGAAGATGTCACTTTGCTCAGATTCTGAAAAATTGTTGAATGGTCAATATGTTGTAGTGTTTTTATTTGGCTTTTCGTTAACTAATAGTTTCAATAAATATGAAATAAAGTGTACAATTTGTCAAATTAATTTTATATAAATCAGATGCTTATAAGGCATGTTTTTGTCAGTTCCCCAGCTACTGAGTTGTGACGTTGGCAGGGTCGATTTGAAACATGGCAGATATCCCTGATAGCACACGTACGTCTATTTGACGTCTGCAAGACATATTTTTTAGAGTGTTCGCTCATCTGCAATACGTCTATGAGGTTTCCTATCAGATGTCAAATAGACGTATATTAGATATCTTTAAGATGTTTAGGATTGAGAATGTATGTAAAACTGACATCTTACAGACGTCTGTCAGATGTTTGTACACAGCAGATGCTTTCCAGATCAAGAGATCTTTAACAGACATCTTGCAGATGTACGTGTGCTATCTGCGATATAATAGGGTATAGATTAAATATAACATGCTGTACATACAACATATTGGTGGTGGATGAGGAGATTCATTTCTTTTGCTTTGTTTAGACTACTTCCATATCATGTTTGCGACCTGAATGTAGGGCTGGACAATAATTCAATATCAATATGTATCGTGATATAATTTTTTTTCAATAACGGTGATATGATTTTTCAACACATTTCCGATATTTTGATATACATTACCAGTGTTTCCCATACATTGGTTTATTTGTGGTGTTTGGCTTCATTGAATAAACATGAGCACTGCACATTTCAGAATCATAACACGGCGCGGGTGTTTTATATGAATGTATCTGAAGGGAACCGTCTTCAGAAAAGTTTCGATGACATTTTCATTTTTATCTGATAAAGTAGCATTCATGAGCGGAGCTGCTTTGATTACAGCCGTTACAAGGGAAACCGATGTTTCTGCCGCTCTCAAAGCGCCTCCTGTTGGCAGAGAATGAATTAGCATTTTCAATAATAAGCCCGTCTCCAGCAACATTTCCAGTTTTTGTTGTTGTTCAATTTTTTTTTCTGCACTTTTCATACCCTTTTTTTCTGGCTGAAGCACATTTTTTCAATCTATAAGAATAATCAGTCTACACTAGCAGTCAAAAGTTTTTGAACAGTAAGATTTGTTTTTTTTTTAAGAATTCTCTTCTGCTCACCAATGCATTTATTTGATCCAAAAGTACAGCAAAAACAGTAAAATTCTGAAATAGTTTTACTATTTAAAATTGCTTTCTATTTGAATAGATTTTAAAATGTAATTTATTCCTGTGATCATACATAGCTAAATTTTCAGCATCAGATCAAAAGTGATGATAAAGGCATTTATAATGTTACAAAAGATTTTTATTTCAGATAAATAGTGTTCATATCGATATTGGAATTATATCGTATTGACTGAAATTAAGAAATATATCGTGATATAAATATGGCCATATCGTCCAGCCCTACCTGAATGTGTGACATGTACTGATGAACGCTCAAGGTTTCTCGGCAGCTTTAGAGACGCCTGTAATACAATTAAGTTGACATACATTCATGCGTTTGTATGCCAATGTTGCCTTCACCTCTTCTAATAACTGAGAACGTCTGACCACATGATCCACCAAACCAAACCAATCCACATCATGAGCAAGCAGAGTAAGTCCAAAAGTAGTTAGACAGAGTGAAACCGAACGTATGATGTCTTTTTAACAGTGTTTTAATTTGTCACACGATTTAAAAATATATTCCTTGAAAATAAACTTCGGTTTGCACACACAGTCCACAAAAATAGCGCAGGTGGAATGCAAGAATGCATTCTGTGTGAATGTTTACCTCGGATGGACAAACTGAAGGTCGACTTAAATTAGTTCGTTTCAAGAAACAAAAGGGTTGTATTGAGTTCTAAAGCCACTTTTTGTAACATTATTCAATAATAATGTTAGGCTACACAATGTTTTGTAGCATAATTCAGTAATCTGCAACAATAATGTCTTGGGGTTTTCTCATCAAACATTGATTGAGATATTAATCATTATATCAAAACATGTAATTGCCCTAATATGTTTGCATCCCTAGTTAAAATGCATCAGAAACTATTACCATGCATAGTGCTACAAAACCAAATCATAAGCAGATTTTTTTATATAATCTCATTCTGACAATGTGTGAGGGACCTATAGCCACGGTGAAGCTGAGTCAACAGGCCTACATGGCATTCAGGAGAGTTTGGTAAATGTCTGCTGTCATTTCCCCCATTCTTCATGAGCTCATTTACGTGAACTGTCTCCGGTGGACTCATATCTGATGAGCTGCGCTTGTCATGCAATGATTGGGTTATGCGGGAGCCCACAATGTCTGGCCCTGACAGTTCTCTGCTAGGGGCTTTGCTGCAAGAGCCACTTCCAGAAAAAGTTTATTTAACAAATGCCACATGTATCTATTATATACGTAGCTGTGAGATGACAATCAGCTTCCCATAGATCAGATGTTTTCAGTCAGATGGCCTGCTTAACATTCAGTCTTTTTCTTTGAGACATGTATATGTTTGAATTGCAAAGCACTAGACACTTAACTAAACTGATCTGCAGTGACTGATTCAGTTCTTTCAGCTGAGCTACATGCATCATGAACTTAAAACCTCTCTCTAGCAGGGACATCACTAAACTTTGTGATTCAATACTCTATAGAGGGATTTTTCGTCAATATGCTAAAAAAAAATCTGTTATGCTGAAGAAAAAAGAATACACCTTTTTGTGCTACAATATTAGAATCAACTGAATAATCTTTTGAAAGCAGAATGACATTTTATCAAATTTTGGTTTTGAAGACATTTCATATTTCACAACTGTCTTTGAACACATTGACAGCCCTAAAAAAACATTTTAAGCCAGTATTGGTTAACAGCATTGACAATGTTTCTGTTAATAGGGCTTTTAAATGTTAAGAAACACAAGAACTAAAACAGCAACATTATTTACAACAGGTCTTGCAAATATAAAAGTTTAATGTACTTCTCTGAAACATGTTACACTTTGCTGTTAATAAACTTTACCCCATTCAAATTTGGCAGCTTTGATGACTGTATATTATAACAATTGCCACACTAATGTGTCGTTGTGATAAAATATTGCTTGAAGACTTACCTTCCAGCCAGTTTGATGTGATGTGATGTGAAGTGACAGCTCAGAGACCTGCAATCTCAACCCTATATAAAGAGAGAGTTGTTCATCATTCTCCACATCCTTCCTGTTCACATGATGATGACACACGTCTGTGAAACTGAAATAAACAAGAACAGCAGTATGTTCAGCTGAAGAGTGCTGTGCAAGGCCACAGAAGCAGTTTGATTCTCAAGCATCTTTAAACAGAAAGTTTTCAGTGTTTCATTTAGATTTTCTAACATGCTTTTTTTTCTTTAGCTTATAATGCATGTAATGTGAGTATATACACGTTAATCAGTATTTTGCAAAAGGTTTTTAAACATATTTTACAATGCAAAACGTTTTTGTTTGTTTTTAAATCATGAACATAAACGTAACAACCTGAACTAAACTTGTGATATCATAAGTGTCACACCCCATTGGACTTTTGTTGTGTTTTCTTCCCCATGTGCTTTGTGTGACCTAGTTTTCCCTCATGTTTGATTGTGTCATTTATTTCATGTGTGTGTCATTAATTATCTTCATTTGCCTCAGTATTTAAAGTGTAGTCTTTCCTGTTTTCTTCGTCCATTATTGATGTGATAGTGAATGTTTCCCTACATGTGTTCCTGCCTGTCCATCCTGGATTTACCCTTGTGTGGATTTATTAAAAGACTATTTGCATTTATCTTCATCTTCTTCGTGCATTTATATCACCGTAGTGTGACAGAATACCAGACTAAGAAAAAAGAAAGGAATGGAATGTGCGTCGAAATTCTCAATGCCATGACCTGGTAACGTTCACCCTGGGATTTACTCGTAATGCCGTCACGTCCTCATTTGACAATTCCGGAACGGGGCAAATTACCAACAACCTTTGGACCTCCCAGACACCACTGGACTGAACTGGAGGGAGGCCATGTTTCGTTGTCTAGAGAGCGTCCTACCTCGATCCAGAACATGACAGGTCCCAGAGCCCAGCCCACCATCACCCCGCTGCACAGAGCAAAAGCCAGAGCCCACCGATGACGGAGAGCCTGAGCCCGCCGCGACCAACGAGCCATCACCAAATGGAGCGACAGTGCTGAGGATCGCCCCGGAGCCAGAGCCTGTGACGTTAGACTAGGTGCGAGAGCCAGCTACAGAGCTCACCACAGGGGAGATCGCTATGGACAGCGAGAGCACGGAGGGAAGCTCTGCCCACTGCACCAAGGCTGAGGGTGAGCCGAGCTCAGTGGACTATGATTGGGATGTATATGCAGACATGCCCCCTCTTCTCCCACCTTCGTCTGAACTCTCTGCCTGCCCTGAACTCTCTATCTGCCCTGAACTATCTGCATGTGGGACAATGAACACGGAGGTCATCCCTCTTTCACTGGCACTCCCGGTGTTGGGAGTGGCCTTGTGGTGTGTGTGGGCAGCACACCACGTTCCTGAAATGACCACGGAGATCGTCCCCCTGTCACTGGCACTCCCGTTCCTGAGCCCCCTGAGCATCCTGAACTCCCGCCCAGCCTCCCTCTCCCACCACCTCTGCACCAGTCCTCACCATTGCCACTGCTGTCTCCTGACAGCCCCTCTGTTCACCCTCAGCCCACCATTTGTGCGGTGGGATCGCCACGGGTCTGCCAGTCTCCATCGGCGTCGTGGCTGGAGGATCCCTTGTCTCCGCCTCCAGCCTCTGAGTCCTGGACTCCGCCTCGGTCCTTCGACCCAGTGGCTCCACCATGGCTCCCTAGCTCCCTCCTCTCCGCTGTGGCCCGTCAGTCCACCAGCTCCGCCGGGCTCCCTCGTCCCTCCGGCTCCGCCTTGGTCTGTCGTCGACCATCCGCCGCATCGGGACTCCAGTCCTCCAGCTACACCTCGTCCCTCCATCCCTCTGGCTCTGTCAGGCTCCTCCTTCCCTCCGGCTCCACCTTGGTCCGCTGTCGCTCCGGCTCCACCACAGCCTTCCGGATCCCCGCCTCTGCCTCGGTTGCCTGAGCCATCTGCTCCGCCTTGGCCCTCCGGATCCTCCCCATCGCCTCGGCTCTCCATCGGCCCCCTGGAGCCATCAGCCCTTCCTCCACCATGGCTCCTCCCTCTGTTGGCTCCACCGTGGGCCGCCATAATGGCTGTGGCCTGGGTCCCGCCTGGCTCCTTCTGTTCCCTCCTGTCTTCTCCCTGGCTCCTCCCTCCATCGTCCTCCTCCCGGGTGTCCATCCTCCATCCGAACCTTCTCCAGTATTGTCTGCCTGCCTTCCTGCCAGCCCTTTGCCATCCCGTCACCATCCCACATCCACTCCTTTATCCTCCTCCTGAGTCTCCCTCCGTCCCTCCCTTTGATGTTCCTGCGGCGCGAGGTCGTGCCTTCTGGGAGGGAGGCGAATTGTCACACCCCATTTGACTTTTGTTGTGTTTTCTTCCCCCATGTGCTTTGTGTGACCTAGTTTTCCCTCATGTTTGATTGTGTTATTTAGTTCAGGTGTGTGTCATTAATTATCTTCATTTGCCTCAGTATTTAAAGTGTAGTCTTTCCTGTTTTCCCTCATCCGGTATTGATGTGATTGTGAATGTTTCCCTACGTGTGCTCCTGCCTGTCCATCCTGGATTTAACCCTTGTATGAATTTATTAAAAGACTATTTGCATTTATCTTCATCTTCTTTGTGCGTTTATATCACCGTAGCGTGACAATAAGGAGGTAAAATTATATATTTTTTTTACCTTGAAACGGCCATGAAGGTCTGCAGGGGTCCTGATGTTTTTTTCAAAATTGTTTCCTGCTAGTTCAGACCACAAATAGCGTTTAAATATTAATATTTTAAAACAAAACCGCTTCACTGCTCACCTTGCTTAAAACACAGTACAAAACATTATATAAAATACTTTCAGCCTTTTATAGATTTCCTTCATCATGATTTTAAGATTGTTAAAAATACATGAATATAAATATATATTTTTATAAATATTAATAAAATATACAATACTGTTTAAATTTTGGATTGTTTAAAGTCTCATGTGCTCACCAAGGCTGCATTTTTCACAGACAGACAGACAGACAGAGATGAGCTGACTTGGTGCTCAAACTTCTTTATTATTTTAAGGTTGAAAACAGTTGTTGATTTTTGTTTTTCTTCAGGATTCTTTAATAGAAAATTCAAATGAACAGCATTTATTTGTCACTTTTGTCCATTTAAAAAAAAAAAACGTACTGACTTCCTACTTTTGAATGGTAGTGTATATATTTTACATTTTTATGATAAATATATAGGTCCAGACCAAAAAAAAAATCACAATGATCCAAACTATGTATATATCTGTATAAATTATAGTACACTTATTGAAGAGGATAATTTTGACAGTGACGCCTAATTGTATTAAACCACAACAAACTGCACGAACAAAATACATAACACAAATATTAAATATTTAACCAATATTCACCAAATACAGTGAGACAATACACGACATACATATGAGACAGTCTACAGTAAAATCTCATCTCTGCTTACACGTTATGAACTTTGAATAACAAAAGTAGCATACAAATGTAATAAAGAATGTTGATGCATATTTATTGATATCAAAATTGACCTGAGAGAGTGAATCCATTTAATCTCCAGAAAAAAGATGCAGTGACATAAGTTTTGCTTTTGTTGTCTGATGCAATTCTGCATTCTGGCCTGAAGGGGCAGTACAAACCACTATTATACATGAGTAAATAAATCATGAATTGGCTGTGCATGCTACAGACTGCTGGAAACAGCATTTGTTTATTTTGTTGTAATACAATATAATAAAACAATGTATAGCAAGTAACACTTTCAAAGTGATTCCTGTGGAAAATGTAGCTTTCCTGTTGTTTGCACAAAAGCTCTCTATACGGTTTCATTTGAGTATACTCTTTCTTTTTGGAACAGGCTGAATGCTGGACCCACAGTCCAACCACAGTTAAATCACTAACATGTGTGCTGCAAAACAGTCTTTTTTGTTTTTTTTTGGAAAAACTGAATTTTTGTTTCTCTAGGATTGCTCGGCCAGTTTCTGCTACAGTTGGTACTTCCCCAGATATAAATAGATTGCCTCTGAGAATAAAGAATCAGAATAAAGCAGAGATCATAAAACGCTTTTATTTTCCCATTTTAGGAGTTCAAAGACTCTCTGGATGAACTAGTATCTTTGTTTCAGAGTCTGGTAAGGCTCAGCTGGGTTTCAATGGAGAATAGATCCATTCCATTCTGAATGTGCCGTTCGTGGCCTGCAGACGCAGTGAAATGAGGTCTAAGTTCATAAGCGTTTCTAGAAAGTTTTGAGTGTGGTTTTGAGTTGTAATGTTTCAGCAACAGATATTCGGTCATGGTAAAAACTCAAGCCCGTCAGAAGCTCAACGTCTCTGATTCGTGTCACGTGAAACTGAACCCAATCCTGGAGCCATGAGTAGTCTGAGCCATTCTGGAGAAATAAATGATAGAACAAAACAGGGTGTGTAAAAAATAGATGCATAATGAGATATGAGAGAGAAACACAACTATTCCTTTTTTTAATAAACATATTTGATTAATCTCATGAAATCTTTCCATAACTTATTCCATATTATGCTTGCCCTTGTGAAAAAGTACTTACTTTTAAGAGTACTTAAGGAAATAATATACTTTAAGTGTGAACTGAATGTAATGTTTTCAGCCACTTTAAATCTACATTCAATTCAATTAGTTGAAATTTTCGACCTATTCAGGACTTAAGTACAGCTTTATATGTAATTTCATATTTAGTTCTATCGTCTTTGAAATATGGTTGAAATGTACTGCCAAATGTTTGTTGTTTAACTAGTTTCATTTTGTTTGTTTTTTTACTTAAGTGGTTAACAAGTTACCTAACAAGCAAGTTACTCAGCTACTTCTTTTGTACAATCTTATGGTTGCTGTGGTTCAGATCATGAATGGCCGATCACATACATGACATGTTTCCAGACTATCGGCTCGATGAGGAAGAACGAAAGACACAGCATCTAGAGGACCGTCACACTGTCGGATGGGAAGGGACGAGTTCTTACAACTTGTAAGAATCACAAAGAAATGTGTCGGGATGGGAGCCCCGTTCCTGAAAGCAGAAGAGTTCAGTCTAATGCATTGTTAAATACATTTTTGGCATTATTTGGCCACTAGTGGGCAGTATGTGAACTACCAATAGGTCTAGTCGTAAATGATGCATTTGGCCTAATAAAATTATTATTTTTTCTCTCATATACTGTAGTCAGATGTTAGACTTATGCATGAAGTCTGGACCACTTTGCATCTTGTTCTTGTCATCTTAGACAGGAAAACACCATCTGACCAACATGTAAAGTGACCAACCACAGTTTATTTTGATTTTAAAGTGGAATTTAAGGAAAATTAAATCTGAAATGGATTAAAGGGGTCATATGATGCGATTTAAAGTTTTCCTTTCTCTTTGGAGTGTTACAAGCTGATTGTGCATAGATAAGATCCCTGAAGTTGCAAAGACTAAAGTCTCAAAACCAAAGAGATATTCTTTATCAAAGATAAGACTCTGCCACGCCCCACTAAAACGGCTCGTTCTAACACGCCCCCACATATCTACCTCACTATGTGGAAATATTTGCGTAATGCCGCCCAAATGTTCACGCAAAGAAAGAAGGCGTGGTTTCAGTAACCGCAGTTAGTGTTGAAGCAGCCGTGTCAGGGAGACGCTGTGTGTTTCTAGGCGACATATTCTGTTACACCAAATACACAAAATAATGATCTTTAAAAAAGCATCATATGACCCCTTTAATAGTAAAGTGTTTTTTAACAAATTAAAGGTATATTCCACCCCAAAATGAAAATATTGTCAACGGGTTTGGAACGACATGGGGGTAAGTGATCAATGACAAAATTTTAATTTTGGGGTGGAGTATCCCTTTAATACTTTTATTCAGCAAGGATGCATTAAATTGATCAAAAGTGACAGACCTTTGTAATGTTACAAAAACAATTTTTTTCAGGATAAATATTCTTTTGAACTTTCTATTCGTCAAAGGATCACGCAAAAATATTAAGCAAGTGTCTTCTACTGTGATAATAGTAATAAATATTTCTTGAGCAGCAAATCAGCATATTACAATGATTTCTGAAGGAGCATGTTACACTGAAGACCGGATATTATATATGGACTGGAATATTTTCAAAAAGAAACTGGTCAGTGATATAAAAAAAGATCTTTCACACACTGGTTCATTTTGCAAACTTACGGGGTTCCCTTGTTCAAAAAGTCATAGTTCCCATCAAAGTCGTTGTCAAATATTGGTCCGCTCACAACATTGACTCCATTCAGCTTTTGTGAATACTTCAGCAGCAGAAAATTGTGAAAGTGATTCCAGATATCTGTCACAAAGACATTAGACACGAACAACAGTGACAGAACAGACACAGCAGGGTTATTACCAATATATTACTAATATAAACATTTACTTACTTAAAATATATCAAGTTTTATGTTAGCATTTTATGTGCCAAGGCAACACCTCATTTTTATTTAAAGTTAACATATTAAAATAACTAAAATTAAATAAACTAAATCTTAATACAAACTATTTAGACATTTAAAAAAGACATTAAAATGCCAATAACACAAATGACTACAAGTCTAACCAAAATTAAAATGAAAACAGAAAATTTAACAAACTCTTTAGTTGAATGGTACTAAAATAACACTGAGACTCACAGTACAGGAGAAGTTTATGTAACATGATAACATCAAATGATATGTAAAACAGTGAAAACAACGTTCGAGACATAATCACAATGTTAGTGCAGAGTGCTGTCCATTATTCTGTTTATGCATAATTACTATACTTAAAAGTTGCATCTTGCGGAAGTTAAAAACATCAAGATTATTAAGGTGACTGAAACCAAACAAGTTGTTGCAAAAAGGATCCTAATGAACAATGCTGTTTTGGATTCTTATGAATAATAGGTCTATGATAAATGCATAAACAATATACTTGTGTAATCAACCGATAACAGATAAATGTGTTATGAAATGCTGGTGCACCCAAAGTACAAACCACACATTTTCAGATTATCCCTCTGTAGATGCACTAAAACACAGATTGATTTAATGGAATGCAGATAGTTAATGTTCTACATGCACGTCATGTTGGTGGAGTTAGTTTGGGAAATGAAAGGAGTCATTTTCACTTTGATCTAAATACAATACAGAGTGAAGAAAGTGTTTACCATACACAGGTGTTGCAATTACCACTGATGAGTCTCTGAGGTTAAAGCAAAACATCAGTTAATTTGGTTCACAGACAAATGACTCAATACTGTGTTTTAATACAGCAGATCTGCCTTCATTATGACTTGTGAGGATCACCTGGTGTAAAGCTTTTTAATTGATTCCTGGAATTGTTGAGATGGGTTTTCGGAGTATAACAATTTAACAGGAACATTTCCAAGGTGGGTCTGCAATAATGCCATAATGTGCATCCAAAATCATTAAAAATAGAATGCTGCTCTATAACACCTTTGTATTTTTGTTATTTATGCAGTTTGTTCTGTGATTTCTGAATTCCCCTAAAGCTTTGTCGCATTCAGTGTAGACAAACAGTTGTTGGTCCCCATTGACTTCCATAGTAGGGGAGAAAAAAATACTATAAAAGTCAATGGCTACCAGAAACTGTTTGGTTACCAGCATTCTTCAAAATATATATTTTTTGTCTTCGACAGAAGAAAAAAACTCATACAGGTTTGGAACAACTTGAGGCCGAGTAACCGATGACAATTTTAATTTTTGGGTGAATTATCCCTTTAACCCCTTAACTGTTACCCCCCATTTTTTAAAATAGGCATGAAAGTGCACTATCCAAACTTAGTAATTTATTAACACTTTGGAATACAGACCTAAGGTTGGTCTATTTTTAAAGAAGAAAGTCAGCAGATTATTGCAAAAGAGGATTTTTTTTTTTCAAAAAATTAAAGTATCAAAAAGTTATAGAAGTTTAAATGTACTGTAAATAAAATTCACTATATTAACTTTATTGTATTTTATTTATTATAAATATTTTACTTTTTTTTAATGCATTTTTCTGTCACAAATGTCTAGATTTCTCTGTCAATATTACTTCTATCTCAAAATAGAATTCTATCCACCAAATATGGAATCCTGAGACTCAGACCTTTCCAATTATATGTTTTTTGTCAAGATTATAAAAAGGTTTGATTCTAAAAGACCATAATGCATTTTGTAATATGACACTTGACACTGCCCACTAAGGGGGAGGAGACCACCACAAGATTTTAAAGTACCATTTCTAAGGTAACGCAATGTCCGATTTCAAAATGGGTTTCACAGGATGAATCTTGGGCTTCTAAGCTTTCAAATTATATATACTTTATGATGATTAATAAAAGATTTGATAGAGAAAAAGGACAACAACAAAAAAGAGTGCCAAGCGTCCCACAGGTGGGACGGTGACAGTTATTTAAAGTGCCCCTATTATGGATTTTTGAAAATTTCCTTTCATGCAGTGTGTAACACAGCTCTGAGTGATTGAAAACATCCTGCAAAGTTTTAAATCTGAAAGTGCACCGTGTATAAAGTTATTGTTTCTCAAAAGAAAGAGTCAACTCTGAATCATTGAAACGAGTCGTTTTTAAAACGAATCCCAAGCCGTTTTATCATGTTGACGTCAACATGAAACATTAGCATATCGCCCACCCACTTGTTGGTCTTTTTGCGTTGGTCTGATTGAAAATGCAAATTGCAAATTCATTCTTTGCCACCGCTTTTGGAGCGGTAAAATAGCTGTTTCCCTGGTAACGCTGTATACAAAGCAGCACTGCGCTCACAAACGCTGCTTTATCAGGCATTACAGGCATGATGCAGTGAAAATGAGACCAATCGGACCAATCACAGCAGATTAGAGTCACGCAAAGGAGGGGTTTGGAAAAACGAATCATTGAGCGAATCGTTTGGGAGTCGTTGAGCAAGTAAGGTAAAAATAAATGCATATTATAAGACAATGAAAGCGTTTTTTTGACATTGCATGCATGTCAGCCTGTTGTTGGGGACTCCCAAAACCGAAATATGAACCTTTCATTACCCATAATAGGGGCACTTTAAAGACATGTCAAATATGAAATATCCCTGAAATGCCAATTTTATGTTTGTCTACAGGCCCATATAAACACAAAACAGCATGTCTGTCATCTCTGTCTCTGTTCTCTCATCAAGTCCATTTTTGGTCTCACTCTGATAACAGAGCCATGAAAGTACGCTGAGAAACCTGCAGTTCTTTGTGTGCTCTGTTGAGCATTCCTAGGTGTTTTTTGGCAGGTCAAGCGTTCCTGCGGGACTCTTTCTTTGATTTTGGTATAAATGCTTGCTGGCCTCAATTCAGCTGTGATCAACTGATTCAAATTATAGGGCAGCTTTAACTTGAGAACATTTACCTTTTCAGGGAGTGTTGCATATCTTTAATAAATTAGAGCACAGTTTTCTCATATATAGTCTCATTGATTTTGAAAGTGTTTTAGTAGTTTAGTAGGACAACACTCACTCTGTAGATCTGTAGAGTGACACAGCACTGTAGATCAAGGTTCACACCCATGTCTATGCAAACACTTGCAAAACAGATTTAATTCTCATGCAATGTAGGAACTTTGAGTGAGAAAAACATTCTACTTGCTTAAAGTCAGGCGAGTCCAAACTCGGTCCTGGAGGGCCCCTGTCCTGCAGAGTTTAGCTCCAACTTGCCTCAACACACCTGCCTGGAAGTTTCTAGTATGCCTAGTAAGATCTTGATTAGCTGGTTCAGGTGTGTTTGATTAGGATTGGAGCTGAACTCTGCTGGACAGTAGCCCTCCACAGGTTTGGACACCCCTTTAAAGTGAATGTTTATCATCAGTATAAATATTCATGGGTGCCATTATGTTGGGCAAAGTCATTTGTTATGTTAAGGATTTCTGCATTACTTTTTTCTGACTTCTAGTGTCAATGTATTACACTTTTCCAAACAGAAAGTTGTAAATTCGGACTTTATAAGCTGGAATGCAGAATTACAGCCTTTTAATAAAAACAGGCAACATGTCTACTGGCATGTGGAACCCATTCTGAATACAAAGTTCAGTTTTTTTATTGATGATTATTGACAATGGCACTCCAGACCCATGTTTTTTTTTGCTATTGTTGACATCAAAGGTTGTGCGTCTAATTGAACTGTACGTTTTTTTTTTTGCACAGATATAACAAATAAATCATAAAGACCATAATGTTTCCTAGCACTTCATGCTTGAATCCCTAATAAAATCTACATTTTAACCAACCTCAGAGCTAATTATGCGTAGATTCTTGATTCCAGCATGCCATTAACTTTCCATTTACTTTCCAACTATACAAGTAAACAGCAAATCTTTTGGAAATATTCGTATTGGCAGTCAGAAGAAAGACATCATGCAGTTCTTGCCAGAACAAACATGCAAATTGCAAGCGTACATGACATGACACAATAAATCACAAAAAGTGCAAAAAAAGAAAGAGATCCCAGTTGTCAGGTTTTGTCTCCCTGCAGTCTGTGTAATGTTATAAGCTGAATGTAAAACACGGCTTACCTTTGAAAGCAGGAAACATGGGCACCATGTTGCTTGTAATTAAGGAGTCTGGCTCAGTTCCTGTAGGACTGACGTCTGAGGGAGAAAGAAAGCATTTAGAGTCCTGTCATACAAAACACTACAGACATAGCAGAGTAAACACAACTCTTTTATTACACAGATCTATGGATACACTGACTGGCCAAACTGCAGAATTGAGTGGTTAAAGCTTTGTGTATAATGACCACTAAACTGTACAATGCTGTTCAAAAATTCTTTTATTTAGCAAGGTTGCATTAAATTGATCAAAAGTGACAGTAAAGACTTTTATATTGTTACAAAAGATTTATATACAAATAGTGTTGTTCAGTTGAACTTTTTATTCATCAAAAAATCTTGAATAATACGTATTCCACAAAAATATGAAGCAGCAGCTCAACTGTTTTCAACATTGATAATACAAAAAAAATAAATAAAATACAGTATATATATATATATATATATATATATTAAGATATAAAGCACATTTCAAATTGTAATAACATTTCACAATATTTCGGTTTATACTGCATTTTCGATCAAATAATTGCAGCCTTGGTGAGCATAAGAGTCTTGTTTTAAAAACATGAAAAAATTTGACCAACCTCAAACTTATATATCTCCCAGTTGTTAATGGCAACATACCATATTTGCTTACTATATTATAAGCAACTGTGGGCTTGTTTTTCAATTAAATCGCTTATAAATATTTGTATTTATGGGTTTATTTCCAGAATTTAGCATATCATGTACTTCACTCAAATTAAATAAAAAAAAACATTTATTAGCTAATATCACTTATAGCTCTAATCGAACTCTGGGACCTTTTCCCATAAGTAAAAGAGGTCAGAAAGTCAAATGAATAGTGAGTTTTGTGTAAAGGTCTTAACGTAAATACAGATATCCTGTTGCACTCACTGGGTGGATGCAGGAGGCCAAAGGTCAGAGTGGAATTGTTCTTATAGAATGAGCAGGACTGTCTCGCACTGGCCTGTACACGCACATCTGCACGGACACATGTGTCTGCTGAGGGCTGGATGCTCACCTTTGTTTGAAAAAGAGAAGAAAGAAAATCAATGATCAGAGGAAACAGTGCTTAGTGTTTAAAACACTCATCAAGTGCATGATAGAATTCCTGTTGGACACATTACAAGCAAAACATTCTCAGCGTTTGCCACTTAACAGAGATTTCCTACAGTAATCTAAGAGCTTTGAGAGAAAGGCCAGTTTGCTTTTTATGAAACACATCTCTAATCTTGACTTAATAGTACTTAAAATACATGCTTCACAATCTGACTTTTAAACACTCTGTATGGGATGATTTGATAGTCATGATAGTGAAGTCATGATGTTTAGTTCTTGAAGTTACTACCACGCAAAACAAAAAACAAGATCAGGCCTGAAGCCTGAAAAACTCCAGCTGTGGTCACATGCGTCATTTCACAGCCTCAGGTTGTGGCTTGTAGTTGTTTTATGTATAAAGAAAATTAGAGAATACAGATGATTTCATTTAGTTCACATAAAAAAAAGATTCTAACATTATCTACTCATGTGAATGAGCACCGATTTGCCTCAGATTTCAGGTGTTTGTCTGCGATCTCTATTAAATGTTGGAGTGCGGAAAATCAGGGCTAACGTCGTGTAATGTGTGGCCGTCATAAGAGATACCCACAACTTACATACAAAAACATAAATGCCCACAAAATACATTTTTATCCATCTTAACCCCTGGACAGAAATATCGCAGACACTGGAAAGTCAAGTACAGTACTAGTTCTAGTGCACATGTGTTGACTAGCTGTTTGCAAACAAGTATACAAAGATTATGTATTTGATTGTGGGAAAAAAAAACATACAGTATACTTTGGGCTTAAGAGTTTGGGTCAAAACTGAAGTATGCTTTCAGTATTCTTTCACCTTCATCATATGGTGACGCATCTCAAATCTTCCTTTTATGTCTAAAATTTTAGAAAAATGTACATTAACTGACAGTCACCACCGATAAGCTACTACTAAATATTGCAGAAACTTAATTTGCTGTAAAGTTGCTTTGCAATGATTTGTATCGTGAAAAGCGCTGTACAAATAAACTTGAATTGAATTGAATATGGAAAAGAGTGACTAGTATATACTTCAAAAACTCATTTTTTTGTATCAGAATTTTCTTTTTTGGATGAACTATCACTTTAAGTTAATTGACAAAAAATTACAGTAACAATCAAAACACACTGCATGGAGCCGAGAAAACGCTTGATGAGCAACTGCAGCTTGTCACTGTCTCGTTGTGTCGAGTGTTAGCGAGTGTGATGATGATGCTAGAGACTGTGATTTACTCTGCGGTTGGCCCACAAAATGAGCAGCCCATGCTGAAGGGTGGAGAGTGTGGCCGTCTGTCATATTTCCTGACCTCACTGAGCATCACCATTAAATCCTCTGCACACGTACGTACACCTTCCTGTTTGAACCGTCATTACAAATTTAGTTTGTGAAAAAGAAGTGTGTTTAATTGCACTTAATCTCATCTAATTTCACCAGTGGTTACTCACCCTTGTGAAAAAGAAGTGCACTTAATTATATTGATTATGCACTTTTAGTGTATGTCAAATCATAAGTGTATTTTTTAAATTGTACTTTTAAAAATGTAAAGGCCACTTAAAGAGATAGTTCACCCAAAAATGAAAATTCTGTCACTAATTACTCACCCTCATGTCGTTCCAAATCCATAAGACCTTCGTTCATCTCCGGAAAACAAATTAAGATATTTTTGATGAAATCTGAGAGCTTTCTGCATAGACAGCAAGGGTCCAAACATGATCAAGGCACAGCAATGTAGCAAGGAGAGCGTTAAAACAATCCATGTGACATCAGTGATTCAACTGTAATTTTACAAAGCTACGAGAATTCCTTACATGATCAAGCTCCAGAAACGTAGCAAGAGTATCACATACTTAAACAACATATGCAACGTATGTACGCGGATACGCTGTTTACGTTGTTTACACTTTGATCTGAATGTAAACAACATATCCGCGTACATACGTTGCATAGCCCTACATTGTTTACACATGTGATACTCTCCAAAATGGCGCTATAGGGTGACGCGGAGGAGGCGAATTGTTGAATAAATTATGTTATTATTGTTTTCTTTGCGCACAAAAAGTATTCTCGTAGCTTCATAAAATTACGGTTGAACCCCTGATGTCATGGATTATTTTACCGATGTCCTTGCTACGTTTCTGAGCCTTAATCGTGTAAGGACACTTGCTGTCTATGGGAGGGTCAGAAAGCTCTCGGATTTCATTCAAAATATCTTAATTTGTGTTCCGAAGATGAACAAAGGTCTTACGGTTTGGAACAACATGAGGGTGAGTAATTAGTGACAGAATTTTCATTTTTGGGTGAACTATCCCTTTAAGTACACTTACTGTGCAGAGAGAACACTTTTATGACTTTTTCTTAACACACTTTAGTACACTTTTAAAAAGATAAAGGTTTTACCAAAGTACATTTTAAATCATTATGTTTTAATAATCGTACTGACTAACATACTAAAGTACATGTAAGGTACTTGATTAGAATTTAAACTGTAGTGTGTTATTCAATCCGAGTTAATATATTTGAAATGTACTAAACTGCAAATTCATCATTACAGATGTATACAAAAGTATTTAAATGTATTGCATACAAATTTCAACAGAATTTAAATTCAAGTATATTTTAGTTTACCATAAATGCTTGTCAGTACATTCGGCAACATGTTAACTATGAAATAGTATTCAAATTATGAAAAAAGACGTAGGCTACTCAGAAAAGCATTCTAAATTTCAGTTAATTGATTTCATATACATTTAAACTATAATATATATTCATGTATCAATTAAAAGCAATTAAGTATGTAAAAACATTACATCCATTTGCACTTAAGCATATTATTTCTATAATATACAGTAGTAATACTTTTTAGAAGTATGCTGAAGTGTACACGTTTTTCACAAATGATTTTTCAAGTTCTGTAATAATTTAAAAGGGGTGTAGCTCATTTAATTCTCACAGGATATCTTCAAAAATAATCACAGGAAAATATCAAATGAAAACCCCTGCAGTGCAACATTGTAACAGCTTAAAATGAGCTATTGTTTTAGAGGTCTCGTCCACAATAAACTCCACTTTAAAGACCCCATGATATCACAGTCAGTCATAAATGTTAGTATTTAGATCATAATCATGCTAGTGTACTTCTAATAAAAATAATAATAAAATGACATTTTAGCAGATGTATCTGTTCGCATTTAAAAATTACAGTCTCTTTTTGGAGGATGCTCTACATGACTCTTGTACGACTCGTCAACATGACTCATTTTGACTCGAATAATTAAATGCTCTCTAGAAAAAGAATGTTACTCCCTAATTATAGATTCCACCTTTAACTAGCAATATGAGTAGGAATGTGCTCACAAAGAAAAAATAGAGGTGCTTATCAAGTAATTTCATGGGGTCTTAAGACTAGTCTTACCGTTGCATTCAAAGAGTATGAGACCCAAAGGGGCATCAGGATGTTTCTGCTGTATCCGCTGATGTACGCAGTGTGGTGAAGTATACAGTAATCCGACTGCTCCTGAAGAACACGTGGGATTCCGTAAGGCAGATGAACAGGCTTCACGTTAGAGTCTATAAAAAGATTAATAAAGAAAGATTGACCTGAAAAGTTTCAAACACAGTGTTTTCTAACACAATATCAATGTGAACTATTCCTGACAAACAGTTTACTCACTTGGGTTTGAGTTGATGAGATGCTGGTTCAAACGGTTCACCTGAAAAAGTTTGGGGAAATGGATTTTAGCAAATGGCTGCAATATAACAAAGAGTGAAAAATTTAAGGGGGTCTGAATACTTTCCGTACCCACTGTATATATGTTTTCGTTAAAATAAGCAAAAAAACATGAAACAAGAATTGCTGAATTTTTTTTTTTACAAATTTTAAATAAAATTGTAATACATAAAAAATAAGTTTGGGGTCAGTAAGATTCTTTAATGTTTTTGAAAAATAGCTCTTATGTATTTGTCTTTTTATGTTTTATGTATTTATTTGAACAAACATGCTGTAAAAACAGTACTATTCTGAAATACTATTATAATTTTTTTTTTTAATAGATTTAAATTTGTAATTTATTCCTGTGATGCAAAGCTGAACTTTCAGCAGTCATTACTCCAGTAAAATACTTTTTCGGGATTCTTTGATGAATAAAAAGTTCAAAAGAAAAGGAAAGCAAATGCAAAAGCTTTTCTTATATTTCATGTTTGATCAATTGCAATTTAAAAATGTAGGTGAAGCTGGATCACGAATGATTTGCGCGAACATAGACGCATTTATGTAGATCAAGGGCGCATTCCCTTCAAAAACAAACAATCCACTGCGTCTTCAGCGGCTGAGATGTCGGGAGTAAATGACAACTGCTATGTTCATTATTACATCCAACAACAGAACACCTCAATCGCTTAGGAGTCATTCTTGTCTACAACTGCTCCAGCGGTGAAACAATGGCGGACTGATGACAGCTCACTCAGGGCGGGTCTGAGGTAAGACGCCAGTCCAGTCTGTGCTGAAACGCTACTGTCAATCAAACTATCGTGTTAGGGCCCTGTTTTTGTGACGTCACACAGACAGGCATCTGAGATCGGCTCGATTTGAGAAAGGGGTAAAGATTTATTAGATTAACAAAAAACCACTGGGTGGATTTTTATCATTTTAGGGTGGTTGTGTACACACACTGCCAACACACATTTCAGTTCAAACAACTTGTAAAATTGCATGTAGCATTATATGACCCCTTTAATGCATCCTTGCAGAATAAAATATTGCTTTCTTAAAAACAATTTACTGACCCCAGTACAGCATGTATACTGTGTATATTTATACTAGAGACAATAAATAATTTGTAAATGTTAAGCACAAATGGCTTGACTCCCCTTTCAAAAACTCAAAAAATGTGATTGTGACAAACCACAGGAAAAAAATAAAGAAATCCAGACAACACCACAAAGCCAAAAATGAATATGTGTTGTGGATTATCATAGAGACACACAAACAACAAACATAACTCAAAGAAATTCCTTGGAGCTACGGACTATAATCCATTCTGCAACATTAACTGCAAGACCAATGCTAAAGGGCAAAAAAGCCTGAAAACATGCAGCTACTTTCCTTTGAACCATGTTTGAATGACATTCTGAAACTCTATCCACTTGTTTTTCAGAATTGTAATATGGAAATAGTAATATAATTGGCTTTCCAAGACTTTCAAACATGCAGTTCTGGTTGCACTGCAACTGAATATCATTTGTATAGTGACAGGCTTCACCACATTTTAGGTTTAAATCCCCTGTTACAAACACAAAGCAACAATAGCAAGGAAAAACTCCTCAAGAGTAAGGAGGAAACCTTGGGTGGAACCACGAGGAAATTCATCCTGTTCTCAAGAGTGAGTCATCTAATAACAGCCAGTTCAAAGACGCACCGGATTACACCATAGAACACGGCAGACATCTGATTTAAAACTTAAGCTTGGCCTTTGAAGGGAACTAGTCTTGGCTCATAACAAGTCAAATAAAGCATGCTAAAAAATGTCCTTAAAATCAGGCATAGCAATCTATTTGTAATATTATGACCTGCATTTATCCATCAACATGCAAAATTACATACATTGCACACCTCATAAGAAAAGGTCTGGGGCAGTACCTTATTGTACATTTGTACCTTATTTACCCTTGAATGGTACATATTAGTATGTTAAATGTACATGTAGTACTTTAAAAGTACATATTACTACCTTTCGAACTGTACATGGTGAAAAGGGAAAATACAATTGCATAAACAGAAATCCAGACTACACTAAACAGCATGAGATCATGAAACCAACAAAATTTTACTATTTTCTTCTACTTTGTGTAGTTTTGTTCATGGTATTTGAGAACAAGGGCATGTCGAGTAATCTGTCCCTGTTGGCATCTGTGCTAATTTGACTCAATCTTAAGCGACAGATGGATTTGTATCAAACTACAAATCATTACATATGGACTCATGGGTCACTTTTTAAAGAGTACCACTTTAACCGCCTTTTTCATTTTCAATTAATAATACTGTCATGATGACATATATGGTGGGGTATGGTTTTCAATTTAAACAGCTCCAATAATTTTATTTACTATTTAGACATTTCTGAGTACCTATGTGTTCAGCCTCCTCGTGTGAAGACCTACGAGTGTAAAGACCTGCGACTTTTTCCTGCGCGACTTTAACCGAGCAACAAAACCGGCAACGCACTTCAGTATTTCTTTCCTATTTTTCCTTTCTATCCTCTCTTTTCCACCTCGATCATGTGATTTCAATACATTGTCTCACAACAACGCTCTAACATCAAACGCAAACGGCAACGCAATCTTGCTCACCTGCGTTCTATCTGCACCTCTTCTTCTATAGCTCTCTCTTTCTCTGTGGGTCTCTGGAATTGTCAGTCTGCTGTCAACAAAGCAGATCTTATTCCCGCTATTGCTTCCCAAATGGCACTTAGCATATTGGGCTTGACTGAGACCTGGATCCGTCCAGAAGACTTAGCAACCCCTGCTGTTCTCTCTAACAACTTCTCTTTCTCTCACACCCCCCGTCAGGTTGGGAGGGGTGGAGGTACTGGTCTTCTCATTTCTAACAATTGTAAATACTCAACCCACACTCCCCTATGCAATAATAACTCATTTGAATCTCATGCGATTACTGTACCAGCTCCAGTAAAACTCCCATGTTGTAGTCATTTATCATCCTCCTGGGCAATTGGGCACCTTCCTAGAGGAGCTGGATGGGCTGCTGTCCTTATTTCCCGAGGATGGCAGTCCACTTATATCTTTGGCGACTTCAATATTTATTTGGACAAGCCTTATGCTGCAGATTTCCATTCACTCCTAGCTTCGGTTGACTTCAAACGTCTTACCCCCACAAGCACTCACAAATCTGGCAACCAACTTGACTTAATTTATACACGCAATTGTGTTGCAGACAACATTTTGGTAAAATTCCTACACACCTCTGACCACTACTTCATAACATTTAACCTACATCTTGCTACCTGTGAGCCACCAACCCCTCTACCAGTTACCTTTAGACAAAACCTCCGTTCCCTTTCACCCTCATATCTTTCCTCTGTAGTCTCTTCCTCTCTTCCCTAACCTACCCATTTCTCATCTCTGGATGTGAACACAGCAACTGACACTTTATGCTCCACTTTAACTTCTTGTCTAGACAATATAGGCCTATGTCCTCTCTCCTCCAGGCCAGCACGAGCTGCCCCTTCTAACCCCTGGTTATCCGATGTTCTTTGTGAGCATCGGTCCAAACTCAGGGCAGCAGAGATAAAACGGCGCAAATCAAAAGATCCATCAGACCTGAGTATGTATCATTCTTTGCTTTCATCTTTCTCTGCTGAAGTCCATACTGCCAAGTCTTCATATTCTCACAACAAGATCAACAGCGCTTCTGACACATGTAATCTCTTCAAAACATTCAAATCTCTCCTCTGTCCCCCTCCACCACCTCCTTAACAGCCGATGACTTTGCCACATTCTTCGCAAACAAAACTAGAACAATCAGAAGCCAGTTCTTAGCTCCACACACACAGGAACTCAAACCAACCACATCTACTGCTAAAACTCCCATCTTCTCATTCTGTCCCCTCACTGAGGCAGAAGTATCCAAACTTCTCTCCAGCCATCCAACAACATGCCCTCTAGACCCAATCCCATCACACCTTCTCCAAGCAATCTCCCCTACACTCTTACCAGCACTCAGACACATCATTAACACATCTCTCCTCACAGGCACTTTCTTCACTGCATTCAAGCAGGCTCGGGTAACCCCACTGCTCAAAAAACCTACATTAAAGGGGTCATAGGATGCCCATTTTCCACAAGTTCATATGATTCTTTGGGGTCTTAATGAAAAGTCTGCAACATAGTTTGGTTAAAATTTCTCAATGGTAGTGTAAAAAACACCCTTTTTACCCTATCAAAAACAGCTCTTTTCAGATCAAGCCGTTTTAGTAGCATTTTCCTTTAAATGTTAATGAGCTCTGCTGACCCCGCCCCTCTCTTCCGAGCTGCTCTCAGAGAGACTGTTTACTTTAGCCGCATTCATCGTGAAACTTGCTAATTAGCACATTATTAGGAAAGGCGATTTGCAAAGATTCATTACAAAACATTATACTCACTTCTTCTGTAGATGAGGCTGGATCGTGAATGAATGATTCGCGCGAACATAGACGCATTTATGTAGATCGGGGGCACATTCCCTTCAGAAACAATGTAATCCACTGCGAGTTCAGCGGCTCAGATGTCGGGAGTAAATGACGACTGCTGTTCATTATTACATTCAACAACAGAACACCTCAGTCGCTTAGGAGTCATTCTTGTCTACATCTGCTCCAGAGGTGAAACAATGGCGGACTGATGACAGCTCACTCAGGGCGGGTCTGAGGTAAGACACCTGTCCAGTCTGTGCTGAAACGCTACTGTCAATCAAACTATTGTGGAGATCGGCTCGATTTGAGAAAGGGGAAAACATTTAACCAGATAAAAAAAAAACACTGGGTGGATTTTTATCATTATAGGGTGGTTGTGTACACACACACTGCCAACACACATTTCAGTTCAAACTACTTGTAAAAGTGAATGTAGCATCCTCTGACCCCTTTAAACACTTCACTTACAGATAGCTACAGACCTGTCTCACTTGAACGAGTTGTTTTCAACCAGGTATCCTCATTTCTTTCACAGAATAACCAACTGGATGCTAACCAATCAGGTTTCAGAAGTGGACATTCAACTGAGACTGTGCTACTCTCAGTCACTGAAGCCTTGCGGATTGCAAAAGCTGATTCCAAATCATCAGTTCTCATTCTGCTGGATCTATCTGCCGCTTTTGACACTGTGAATCATCAGATCCTCCTGTCCACCCTCTCATCACTGGGCATCACAGGGATTCCACTTCGCTGGTTTGAATCCTATCTCACTGGTAGGTCTTTCAAGGTGGCCTGGGGAGGGGAGGTTTCCAAAGCACATCAACTGCTCACTGGAGTACCTCAGGGATCAGTTCTTGGACCCCTCCTCTTCTACATATACACTACATCACTGGGTCCCATCATACAGGTACATGGTTTCTCCTATCATTGCTATGCTGATGACACACAGCTCTATCTCTCATTTCAACCAGACGATCCAACTGTAGCGGCACAGATTTCAGACTGCCTGGCAGACATCTCAGATGAAAGAACATCACCTACAGCTCAACCTGGCAAAGACTGATCTTCTTGTCATCCCTGCCACTCCAACTCTACAGCATGATTTCACCATCCAGTTAGGTTAATCAACAATTACCCCATCAAGTTCGGTCAGAAATCCTGGTGTAATCTTTTATGACCAGCTGACTTTCAAAGACCACATTGCAAAAACTTCTTGATTTTGCAGGTTTGCATTGCACAACACCAGAAAGGCCCTTCCTAACGGAGCATGCTGCACAACATCTTGTCCAGGCCCTTGTCATTTCTAGACTGGACTACTGCAATGCTCTTCTGGCTGGACTTCCATCATACACAATCAAACCTTTACAAATGATTCAGAATGCAGCAGCACAACTGGTCTTTAACGAGCACAAAAGAGCCCACGTCACACCTCTCCTTATCTTCTTGCACTGGCTCCCGGTTGCAGCTCGCATCAAGTTGAAGACATTGATGCTTGCATATAGAACAGCCACAGGCTCAGCACCCTCCTACTTCCACTCACTTTTGAGTGAGCAACGCCTTGTGGTACCATCACAGAGAGGCACAAAATCACTTTCCAGAACATTCTCGTTCACCATTCCTGGCTGGTGGAATGAAATTACCACCCCTATCTGGAATGCTGAATCCCTGACAATTTTCAAGCGACACCTGAAAACTCATCTCTTTTGTCACTATTTGACTTCATCTAAAAAAAACAACAACTTTGCTTTCTCTTTCCTTAATCTCTCCGTCTAGCTTGTACTACTCTGAACAATGCCTGAAGCTTTGTATTGCAAGCACTTCCTGCATGTATTTGCCTCTTTATGATGAATCGCTTATTGTATTCTTCAATTGTAAGTCGCTTTGGATAAAAGTGTCTACTAAATGAATAAATGTAAATGTATCTAACCTAACCCCCACCCCTAAGCGTTTCTCAATATAAAACAAAGCCAATTAGTCACAATTCTCAATATAAAACAAAACCAACTAATTGGTTAAAAAAATACAAATATTCCAAGTTTTCTAGGCCAAACAATTGATTTTTATAAGAAACACCCAAAAGCAATCACGTCTCCATCCAACATAACGCTCAAATCACAAACACATTAAAAAACTGCCATCTGAAGAAGTGCAACATCAGCCTTGATTGTGAAATCTGATTGGCTCTTGCGTGTCTCATGACCAATTACATCATGATAAAGTTTGGATTTATCTTTTGAATCAGATGTGACTGTATTAAGTTTCGCTCTGTTCTCCTCACTTCATAAAAGATGTAGCATGGCTTCAGAAGACTTGGAATACAACAATTTGTAATACTTTTATACTGTTTTATGGCCATCACACCTGTGATTGCACATGTTTTATATTCTTAAGAAGTGGTTAGGATTAGGGGTTAGATGCTCAAAAATATCTATGAAAGAATATATACATACAGTATATACCCTGTATGCTTTTTATGTATTAATAAACAGCCAATATATTAATAATAGGCATGCTAATAAGCAACTAGTTAATAATGGGAATTGGTCCCTATACTGAAGTGTTACCAAAGTAATTTCTACTTTTACTCTACCTAACATTATTCAGGAGGCAGACACACTCTGTCAGTTTGAATTAGGGCTGCACTTAACCTGGCTTACACATAGCACACTAACACATTTCTATTATTCAAATCCGTTAAAGGATTGTTAGGCTGCATTAATTTGGTCAACCGGAAGCGGGAACACTTCCAATAACACCTGATGTACTTGTTACATCGTTAGAAGAATGGCATCTAC